AGGCCAACTCTTCAGATAAAGATCAGACTGGACTATCAGACATAAAATGATACTCGTGAAGAATGTGCTTCTTAGCTCAAGTAGATACATGAGACTAAATGGGCAGCTCCTGTTGGGAGGTGAGATGAGAAGGCAGAGAGGGTCAGGAGCTAGTTGAATGGACACAGGAAATCAGGAGTAGAAAAGAGGAGTGTGCTGTCACAGTATAGGGAGAGCAATTAGGGTCACATAACAATGTATGTATAAACATTTGTATGAGAGAGTAACTTGAGTTGTAAACTTTCACTTAAAGTACAACAATAATATAAAATTGAATCATAATGAAATAGAAAATCTGAATAGCCCATACCTGTTAAAGAATTTGAATTCATTATCAAATACCTTTACAAAAAACAAAACAAAACAAAACTGGTTTTCCTAGTGAATTCTGTTGTACATATGCAGAAGAAATACCAGGTTTACACAACTGCTTTCAGAAAATAGAGGAGGAGGGAATACTTCCCAACTCATTTTATGATGCCATTATCACTCTGATACCAAAACCTGACAAAGATAATACAGAAAAGAAAATTTATAAACCACTGTCCTCAATGAATAGAGATCCAGAATGCTCAGATAAAACAGAATGATACATTGTAACCAATAAGGGTTTATCCCAGAAATGATTTAATGTTTGGAAATCAAGTGAATTCAGCATTTAACAAAATAAAGGAGAAAAGCTAAGGAGAAAAATCATCTTAATATGCAGGGAAAGCATTTCATAAAATCCAACATCATTCGTAATAAAAATTCTCAGCAAGGAAGAAATAAAAGGGAACTTCTTTAACCTGATAAAGGCCATCTGTAAAATGAGTGACTGAATTATTTCTCCCTAAAGTTGGAAAAAAAGCAGCAAATATATTTGCTTGCACCACTTCTTTTCAACATTGTGCTGGCTGCTTAGCCATTTCAGTAAGTTAAGAGAGAAAGAAAAGGCGTAATAATCAGGAAGTAAATCATCAAACTTTCACTATTCATTAAAGATATGATTGTCTATGTAAAAAATTGGAATCTACAAAAAAACTGCTAGATTTAATAATTAAATTTAGCAAGGTCGCAGGATACAATGTTAATATATGAAAACCGGTGTATTTGTATACATTAACAGTAAACAACTGGAAAATGAAATTTAAAAATTTCCATTTACAATGTGTCAAAAACAATAAAATTTTTAAGAATAAATTTTACAAGAGTTGTGCAATACTTTTTCATCGAGAACTACACTATGTGACTGAGAGAAATTAAAGAAGATCTTAATAAGTGGAGAGAAACACCATTTCATGGAATGGAAGACTCAATATTGTTAAGATACCAAATCTTGCCAAATTAATTTATAGATCTAGTGCAATAGAAATTTTCTGTTTTTAGAAATTACCAGCAGATCATAAAATTTAAATGGAAGAACCTGAGACCTAGAATAACCAAAACAGTCTTGAAAAAGAGAAACATAGTTGGAAGATTTCACCAACTGACTTGAAGACTTATTTTAAAGTTAGTAATCAAGACAGCATGATGTTGATCTAAAGGGGTAAACATAGATCAATGGAACTGAATAAAGAGTCCAGGTATTGACCCCTACTTAAATCCTCAACAAAAGAATGTTTGCTGACCGTCAGTCATGCTATTATTCTGAAGGTTAAGGGAGATGTCTTATGGGTGATTTAGACATCTAAACATTTCAATATGCAGTAAAATCTGCAAAAGCTGGAACCTGTGTAAGGTGGAAACCTGTCAGAGAAGGAAAACTCAAAAATATTTTCCACTAATACAGAAACCCTGGTGGCGTAGTGGTTAAGAGCTGCGGCTGCTAACCAAAAGGTCAGTAGTTCAAATCCACCAGGCGCTCCTTGGAAGCCCAATGGGGCAGTTCTACTCTGTCCCATAGGATCACTATGAGCCGGAATTGACTCGACGGCAACGGGTTTGGGTATTTTTTGGTTTAATAGAAAGCAATAGAAAAGTGACAAGATTGCACCTTGTCAAAGGCGGAAAACTTGCAAGACCTGGAAAAACAAGGCAGTCCAGGCAGGTTCTGGCTGTCACAGATTTCACTGTATATAAATTTTACCTCCCCTCCCCCCCCCAAAAAAAAATGCATGGAAAAACTCAAAGGGCAGGGCAGAAAAATATACATTAACTTTGGCAATTAAGGATATATTCAGTACGACTTATTGGTAACTTTAAAAGTGGCCTGTATTTAAATCTTTTCTCCAGTTCTGTATTGGGCACGCCACCCCAAGGGAACATTTGGAAGCGTTCATCTTTTATAAAATCAGTGGCATAAATTTAAATGCTTATGTTGAGATGAGCTGAATTTTGTTGGATTGAAGATAGTCTCCACTGTGTTGATGAGAAACATTTATTTGAATCGCTCCAGCACACATGGTGTGTCGGCTGTGACGGTGGCTTGCCACCAGCGCGTAAATTTGTAGGTTGCTTTAGTCTGTGGCAGTCAGTACTGAAGAATCTTCAGCTTAGCACCGTATAAAGAACAAATAAACCAAACAAATAAAAATGCTCCCAGATGTGCCATGTGGTTGCTTTGTATTTGGGATTCTTTTAGCCTCAGTCCTCTGCACCCAGCACTGATTTCAGAGATAGAGCTTTGCCTTCTTCCTTGCCTACTTGCAGCCTGAATCACTCCTCTAGGAGTGGAAATAAATACCTATGTCAATAAGCACTTTGATGGCCTACTCATTTAAAACAAGGGGACTGAATTTCTTGATTTGGAATGTAGTCACATTTTAGCATGGCCTTCCTTTCCTTGCAACTGAAAGGTTGAAGATGAATTTTGAAAAATATTCTCTCATGAAAGCCTACATGCCACCCAGCAACCAGTCATCAGGAATTATATCTGTATTATATAC